GCGTCGGTGCGCGCCCGGGATCCCAACCTGGGCCGCCAGCAGCGGAGCACGCACACTTAACCCCTGAGCCACGGGGCCGGCCCTGTTTCTTCCTCTTTTAAAAGTGCCTGGTCTGCTTCCAGGACCTCCACTGTGGGCAGAAGCTTCAGCTTTCCCTGGTTACTAAGTCAGTAACCACTATTGTTTTTTTTTGTTGTTGCTTTCATACTTCCAAAATTTTGTTGCCATTATTTTGTTTCCCATTCCCTTTTTTCTTGTTTATGCCTTTAAAAAAAATCCCTGTACTGTCTTGTTAATGAGATTTGGGGAAAGAGTGGTAGTAAACTGGTATGTTCAGTCTGTCATGTTTAACTGGAAATCACTACTATGTATTATTTTAGTAGTATATATTTTACCACAAATTACAGTAACTTTCAATACTGTGAAAGTGGATTTCCTCTACATTTACTTGTATACCTTATGGATTTTAGATTATAGTGCTTGAGGTTTGGAAATAAGTAGAAAGTTCACATCTTAAAGTAATGCTTTCCCAATTTTTTTGCCATAGTACCTGTTTTTCTAGCAATACCTGTTAATATCTCAAGGAACACAATGTTCTTCAGGGTAGTGTGAGACATGCTGCTCTGAGCTCTCTTAGATCAATAAACTGCAGTTGGCTTAGTCATTTTCCCATGCAGGACATTAGAGTGGCAACATTTTTCACAGTTGTAGATAGAGCTTTGAGCATATAAATATTTTCATATATATATTAATATATGAACGATACATATGAATAAATATATTTATATCACTAACCAGGTTGAAGGATATAGTTTTAAAACTCTTCATATGCTCAGACTGCTCTGTGTGAAGATTGACCCCATTAATATCGCCATCAGCGATGTATCTATTTCCACGTGTCCGAGCAACAGGCGGCGTGAGTGATCCAAGAGGGAGCCAGGGAGAAGTTACAATGTCTTTTATGACCCAGCTTTGGAAGTCACACACCGTCATTTCTGCAACATCCTTTTGGTTCTTAAGGTCAGCCTATCCCATGTGAGAGGGGACCACACAAGGGCCTGAATACCCGGAACCATTGGGGTTCATCTTGGAGGCTGGCTACCACTCTCTGCCCTCTGTCCCATAATGAATCATGTCCTCCTATATGCAGAATGTACTTAACCCCTCCCAAGGTCCCCAAAAGTTTTTTCCCATTAACACATCAGCCTAAAGTCCAGAATCTTGTCATCTAAAAGCAGGTGTGGATTTATACTTCTCAGGTGAGATTTCTTGAGTATAGCTCTTTGAGTATAGTTCCCCTCCTCCCAGCAGACCATGGTGGAACAAGCATAGGATAACTGGTAGATACCGCTTTCAAAAGGGCAAATGGAGGGCCGGCCCCATGGCTTAGCGGTTAAGTGCACGTGCTCCGCTGCTGGCGGCCCGGGTTCGGATCCCGGGCGCGCACCGACGCACCGCTTCTCCGGCCATGCTGAGGCCACGTCCCACATACAGCAACTAGAAGGCTGTGCAACTATGACATACAACTATCTACTGGGGCTTTGGGGGGAAAAAATAAATAAATAAAAAATTTTTAAAAAAATAAAAAAGGGGCAAATGGAAGGCACACGGGGGTCATTGGTCCATAACGATTCAGCAAGGTACATGCTGGCAGTTTCTTGATTAAAATGTAAGGCCTGGGAATAATTTTCCATGGCTTTTGGCTTGGCCTTCTGAACCAAGCTAAATTATAATTTTACTTGTTTATTTATTTTTAAGTTTTATTTAAGACATTTTATTTTAACATTTTATTTTATTGATTTATTTTTGCTTGTTTGGATTAATTTATGCATGTGAGAACTAGAGAGTCAGAGTTCTGAGGGTATATATAAACAGACTTCTTAAAAAAAAACTGGCATCACATTACATGTATTTTTTTGTTCTACAATTTTTTTTCAAGGTAACATATTTTACAGCTTTCTTTCCAATTCAATACATTAGACATGCCTTATTCTTTTTAATAGCTACATAGTTTTCTACTATATATCTGCCGTAATTTATTATATGCACAGAGACTAAAGAGTCAGGTAATTCTACAAAGCTGGTTGTTAAAACTCTCGGTCCATAACCTTCTTCTATTTTCTCCTTCCCAGAGGCAACCATTTTTCAAAACTCTTTTGCTGGTTCTTTTTACTGTTTTTATTTATTCACTGCCATTTATTGATTTTTCAGTTATTTAGGTATTACCTATTTACTTCCCAAGTGGAGGGTTAGGATTCGGCTTTTTGCCCACACTGGCCCCTCGGCCCAGCAAACACCCTTCTGTCTCCTCCTCCTTCCAATGTAGTAGCGTCATCATTGGGTTAAAGCAGTATTCAGCTTTACTTCATCATGACCAAGTACATGCTGTTCACAGCTGAGCCACGTAGTATCCTGTGATTACTTTTCCTTTCCTGTATAATTTTTTATTTTCTTTGGAGTTAATAATTGCCTTGCTTTCTTGTTTGCTTACTTTTTCTATGCACCTGTCAATTTTTCAACCCAAATGTTTCTCTACTTGTCTAAATGTTTTCTGATATATTCAAGTATTCTATCAGTTTTATCTTCTTTAAGAAATCTCTCCTAGAGCCCTCTGACCTGCTTCAATCTAGACTTTTTGCCCTCTCCACCCAGTGTGCATTTGTCATCCTGGATATTCTCTTTGCCTGTCTCCTGTGTTGGGTATTCTGCTTAAAGGATTTAGACAAAGCCCAGTGATCTGGGGGAAGTTGAGGGAGAGGCCATGGCTTTCCTGGTTTTCACTTGATCTCTGGTTTCAGTATGTACCCTGCCCTTAACTTTGCCTGGTATTCTCCAGACCAGAGACCCTCAATCATATTCTCTCCAGAAAATAAACCTTTAGTTTTCTGCTAGAGTAGGGAAGAGGCAGCCATCATGGTAAACAGACAAGTTTAGCAACATTCCTTAAGCAGGAGTCAAAGGTAGATGTGCTCTACATGATTGTAAAGCCAGTTTAAAAGCCAACAACTTAGTGTTTTCGCAGATTCCGTTAAGGAATGCTGCATCACTGATGTTCTGGAGGCACAGAGGACAATATTGTGTGAAAAAATATGGGCATCATTAATGCTGAGTACAAAAAATGAGAAAGTCACTGAATGTGAAAACACTTTTGGAAAACCTTAACCAATTTATTTTGTTATATATTTTTTTATGTCTGCTCAAGAATGATATGTGATTTTTAAAAATATAAGTCTAATTTAAAAGAACTTTCAATACGTATACAATTTAATAGTCTAAGTGAATAATTTGACAACAATTTTTTTGTTATAATCAATGGTGTCCTAGACGGAAGGAAATATATTATTATGGATCTATACCCCTTTTTTGTTAAAAAGATTGCACATATTTTTGTCCATCATTTTTGTCTTTTGTATGTCATTTTTCACCATATGGAAGTTTTACATTTTTATGTGAGCAAACCTGTAAATCTTCCTTTATAGATTCTGAGTCTTGCCTATCCCAAAGATATAAAAATATTCTCTATTATTTCCCAGTATTTTTTATAGTTTTATGTTTAGTATTTAAATAAATAAATAAATTATTTATTTATTTTTTGGTGAGGAAGATTGGCCCTGAGCTAACATCTGTTGACAATCTTTCTCTTTTTGCTGAGGAAGATTGGCCCTAAGCTAGCATCTGTGCCAATCTTCCTCCATTTTGTATGTGGGACGCCTGCCACAGCATGCCTTGATGAGTGGTGTGTGGGTCCACACCCGGGATCTGAACCCATGACCCCTGGGCCGCCAAAGCGGAATGCACGAACTTAGCCACTATGCCACCATGCCGGCCCCTATTTTTATTTTTGATAATGCCTTTTTGTTACTTGCTTCCTTTCCCATATTAAATTTTATTTGCTTAGCTTTTTCGTTTTCAAACATTTTTGAACAGAGTGATAAATTATCTAACAAGTTCAGCTTTGATAGCATAAGTTTTTAATAGTTTTACTCAGGTATAATTTGCATACCATATACTTCACCTAGTATAAGAGTACAATTCAATGAATTTTTAGTAAATTTACAGAGTTGTGCAACCGTGATCACAAGCCAGTTTTAGAACATTTCCATTACTCCAGAAAGTTCACTTGTGTCCATTTGCAGTAAATCAATCCCCATTTTTTTTTTTTTTTTTTTGGTGAGGAAGATCAGCCCTGAGCTAACATCCATCCTAATCCTCCTCTTTTTGCTGAGGAAGACCGGCTCTGAGCTAACATCTATTGCCAGTCCTCCTCCTTTTTTTGTCCCCCAAAGCCCCAGTAGATAGTTGTATGTCATATTGCACATCTTCTAGTTGCTGTATGTGGGATGCAGCCTCAGCATGGCCAGAGAAGCGGTGCGTCGGTGCGCGCCCGGGATCCGAACCCGGGCCACCAGTAGCAGAGCATGCACACTTAACCACTAAGCCACGGGGCCGGCCCTCAATCCCCATTTTTATTTCTAGCCCCAAACAACCACTGATGTACTTTCTGTCTCTGTAGATTTGCCTATTTTGGACATTTCATATAAATGGAATTATACAACATATAGTCTTTTGTGTCTTTTTTTTTAATAATTTTTTTTTTTCCTGTGGAAGATCAGCCCTGAGCTAACATCCATGCTAATCCTCCTCTTTTTGCTGAGGAAGACCGGCTCTGAGCTAACATCCACTGCCAATCCTCCTCCTTTTTATCCCCAAAGCCCCAGTAGATAGTTGTATGTCATAGCTGCACATCCTTCTAGTTGCTGTATGTGGGACGCGGCCTCAGCATGGCCGGAGAAGCGGTGCGTCTGTGCGCACCTGGGATCCGAACCCGGGCCGCCAGCAGCGGAGCACGCGCACTTAACCGCTAAGCCACGGGCCGGCCCTAGTCTTTTGTGTCTTATTTCTTTCACTTAACATAATCTTTTTGAGGTTCATCCATATGTAGTATATGTCAGTAGTTCAATCCTTTGTGTTGCTGAATAGTATTCCACTGAATGGATATGCCACATATTGGTTATATATCCAACAGTTGGTGGACATTTAGATTGTTTTCACTTTTGGCTATTATGAATAATGCTGCTATGAACATTTGTGCAAGTCTTTGTGTGGACATGTTTTCAATCTTTTGAGTGTATACCTAGGAATAGCATTGCTGGGTCAAAGGGTAAGTCTATGTTTAACCTTTTAAAAAACTGCTAAACTCTTTTCCAAAGTGGCTGCACCATTTTACATTCTCACAAGCGGTTAAAGAGGATTTTAGTTTTTCCACATCTTTGCCAACATCTGATATTGTTAGTCTTTTTGACTATAGCCATTCTAATAGGTGCGAAGTAGTGTCTCCCTGTGGTTTCAATTTGCATTTTCCTAATAACAGTGATATTGAGCATCTTTTCAGGTGCTTATTAGCCATTTGTTTATCTTCTTTGGTGAAATTTCTATTCAAACATCTTCCCAATTTTTAAACTGGCATGTTTGTCTTATTATTATTGAGTTTAGTGTGCCAAAATTTTTGATTTGTTGTATTTCTATTTTTGTTGAAAATCAATCTTTTACCAGCACTGAATTTTATCTCTATCCTGTGTATAATTTCGATATGCTAGTCAATTTTCAATCCGATTTTTTTTGTATTTCTACATCCCTTAACATTTTTGTGTATATTTTGTTTGTTTATTCATAAAGGTATATACAGTAAAGTTTAGGCTTTTTAGGTGTATAGTTCTGTGAATTTTGACAAACTTATACAGTGTGTAACTACCACCACAATTGAGATAGCATATTTCCATCATCGCAAAAAGTTTCCTCATACCCCTTTGTAGGCAGTCTCTTCCCTCCACCCCTGGCCCCTAGCAACTCCTGATCTCACTTTCATTCCTATGGTTTTGCCTTTTCCAGAATGTCCTATAAATGAAAATCATACAGTATGTAATCTTTTGAGTCAAGCTTGTTTCACTTAGCATAATGCTTTTGAAATTTATCCATGTTGTTACGTGTATCAGTAGTTAGTTTCTTTTTATTGCTGAGTAGGATTCCATCATATGCACCTACCACCATTCTTCAATATTCAATGAAGAATATTTCATGCCCTTTTTAGGATTGAGTAGTTGGAATCACTTTAGGTCAACCAGATAAGAATTTTTAAACTTTTAGCAGAAAAAAACAACTTCTACATATCAAATAAAAATTTATGTAAATTACACATACTATAATATATTTTTCCCTTCTTGTTCAAAGCCATTTATAAAATCTCTTGCTTTTTTTCCTTTTGGCAGGTATTGACTGGCAGGTACGGCCTCCTGTATCACGACTTCCTACTCTTGGTAAAATGTCTCTCAACAAGGAGCTTCATTTTAACACTTCCATTGCTAACTTGCTCATCCTTCGTGGGAAAGATGTGCACAGTGCAGATCTGGGTAAGCAGAAGTTAATGTGAAAATTAAGATGAATATTTTGCACATGTACGTGGTACACATGGTAAAAAAAAAAAAAGTCCTTGAATTTATTCTTAGAGAAAGGAAAATAACAACTATGTGTTTTAGTAGCAAAATGTAACCATTGTATCAGTTAATATGTGACTGGACACCAAAATAGAAGTGGTTTAAACAAGATAAAAGTTTAATTCTTTCTTCCTGAATCTGGTTGCTCTGTGGTCCTCACCTTGTGGCTTCCTCCTTCTAGTCCAAAACATCTGTTTGAGCTTCAGCCATCAGATCACATAGGAATGAGCAAAGAAGGGCAAGCCGCCTCCTCCTAGGATCACATACCACACTTGTTTTTACATCTCTGATGGGGACTGCGTCCTATGCCACACCTAGTTGCAAGGGTGGTGATGAGCACAGTGAAAATTTGGGGATTCTATTACTAAAGAAGAAGGGGAGAACGCATGTTGTGGAACTAGGGGTCTCTGTGACAGCATTTTGTTACAAAATTTTCAGGAAGTTTAAAGAGAAGTACTCTTATTAGCTTTGTGTTTCTATGGCAGGTGTCTAGGTTTATATTATCCTTATTTGATGCTTTCAGCAGTATCAAATTGGCTGCATCTAGCTGTGATATAAAGAAAACCTGTAATACCCCTTAATAAAAAGCTAGTAATAATTAAAAAGAGATCATTTCAAGTCAATCAGATGGTATACTTTCTTCATATTCTTCATTTTAGATTTTAAAATAAGAGAATTAATAAAAGGTATATAAAGTAAGCGAACTTCCAAAAATTTACACATAGCAAATGACACAGGTACATAGAGGTGTTCTTGCAGAGATACTCATTGCAATATCTTTCACACTAACAAAAATATGGAAACAACCTAAATGCCCGACAGTAGGAAATGTGTCCAATAAATTATGGTATATTCATATAAAGAGCCTTTAAATATGAGTAATATTTATTGACATGGAAAAGAGGTTCACAACATATTGGTGAATGAAAAATGCTGATTACAGAAGAGCATAGGAATCACATAGGAATGAGCAAAAAATATAAAATTATATATACAAGAGAGTCTGCAAAATGTTCATAGTCATTATCTCTGGGTGGTGGTATGTCAGCTGTTCAGTTGACTTTTAAATTTTCTTCTTAATACTTTTCTTTTTGTTTTTGTTTTTGTTTTTGTGAGGAAGATCAGCCCTGAGCTAACATCCATGCTAATCCTCCTCTTTTTGCTGAGGAAAACCGGCTCTGAGCTAACATCTATTGCCAATCCTCCTCCTTTTTTTTTTTTCCCCAAAGCCCCAGTAGATAGTTGTACGTCATAGTTGCACATCCTTCTAGTTGCTGTATGTGGGTCGCGGCCTCAGCAGGGCCGGAGAAGCGGTGCGTCGGTGCGCGCCCGGGATCCGAACCCGGGCCGCCAGTAGCAGAGCACACACACTTAACCGCTAAGCCATGGGGCCGGCCCCTTAATACTTTTCTGAATGGTGTGAATTATTACTTTTTTTATGATGAATATGGTTCATTTATCCAAAAGCAATATAAAGTTAGTTTTAAAAGGCAAAACAAAAGGAGATTTCTGGTGAAATGGATAAGAAAATATCCATTTATTAATTTGTTTCCAAAAGTAATGATTTATGATGTAAACAATGGCTTTTGTTGTGTTACTCTAGGAGGATTTAAAGATCCAGCTCTCTATACTTCCTGGTTAGAGCCTGTTAATGCTTTCAATGTGTGGAAAACCCAGCGATCCTTTAACAAATATGAGAAGTCTGCAGCATTGGTCACCAATAGCCAGTTCTTAGTAAAACCACTTGATAAGATTGTGGGCAAAGCATGGAATATGTTTGCTTCAAAGTAAGTAAAAAAATAAATCTACAAACCTTTCTCATCTTAGGCAGATAATATAATGTTAAAACACCAGGCAGGGGCCAAGCCATGTGGGGTAGTGGTTAAGTTTGCATACTCCGCTTTGGTGGCCCAGGGTTCACGGGTTCCTGGGCACAGACCTATGCACGGCTTATCAAGCCATGCTGTGGCGGCGTCCCACATATAAAATAGAGGAAGATGGGCACAGATGTTAGCTCAGGGCTAATCTTCCTCACACAAACGAAAAATACCGGGCAGGACCTAGAGTGTCTTAGTCTGTTTGGGCTGCTCTAACAAAAATAGCATAGACTGGGTAGCTTATAAAAAACAAATTTATTTCTCACAGTTCTGGAGGCTGAGAAGTCTAAGATTAAGGTGCTGGCAGCTTTGATGTCTGGTGAAGACCTACTTCCTGGTTCATAGGTGATGTCTTTTCACTGTGTCCTCAAATGGCAGAAAGAAAAAAGGAGCTTTCATGGGCCTCTTTTATAAGGGCACTAATCCCATTCATGAGGGCTCCACCCTCATAAACTTATCACCTCCCAAAGGCCTCACCTAATACCATCACCTTGGGGGTTAGGACTGTAACATATGAATTTTGGAGGAACACAAACATTCAGTCCATAGCATGGAGTAAGCACGGCTACCACTTACCACTTAGGCATGAGACTTTGGGCATGTTACTTCAGGCTTCATTTCCCCATCTGTACAATGGATCCAAACTGAGAGGGTATGGGGTGAGGATTAAATGAGATAATCATGTAAAAAGTACCTAGTACAGTGCCTGACTAGTAAATGCTCAATAATTGTTCGATATCATTATTATTGTTAACTAAATGAATAGTTTCTAAATGAAATGAAATTAAAGTAGAAATTTCATTATAAGGCAGGGACAGTAAGATAGTTTTCCAAAATAAGATCCTTGGAAGAATGGAAGAGATCCTGATCTTGCTCAGTGAGAAATACTGCGAGTTCAACTCCACTCGATACTAAGAACTGTCTACTTGATACTAAGAAATGTGTTATCAGGTTTCTTGACCTCTGCCACAATTACTTAATGTCAAAGGAAAATTCCTCAAATGATTGGACAACGCCTCTACTTTGATTAGCTAGGGTTCCCAAGGCACCCTCTCCTCCTGGGCGTTCCATAAACCCTCACTCCCCAGGGCTGGGAACTCTCTGTGCTTTTCTGGTATTGTTCTCTTCCCACTCTCATTAAATGGTAGCAGCCATTATTACATCAATTTAATTCATGTCTGCCCTTGATATTCTTTTTAACATGACTTTTCCCACCTCAGAACACTCTGGGGGTAGGGAGCATGAAGAGGACCACCTGGCATAACTACACATTAAATGTCTGAAAAAAACTTGGGAGGCTTCGCTTCATTGCTAGAACTGGAGCAGTGTGTTTCTACGGTTTGAAGCCTTAGATAAAACTTCCCAGGCACTTTTTAGAGTTTGCATTGAACCCGGTTATCTCCTCTAGGGTGTGGAATAGGTGCTGGGTGGACAACCAAATCTGAACGTGCTTCTTTTTCCTGTGTGCTTCTTTTTTTTTTTTTTGTGAGGAAGATCAGCCCTGTGCTAACATCTGCCAATCCTCCTCTTTTTTTGCTGAGGAAGACTGGCCCTGGGCTAACAACCATGCCCATCTTCCTCCACTTTATATGGGACACCGCCACAGCATGGCTTACCAAGCAGTGCATCAGTGCGTGCCCGGGATCCGAACCGGCGAACCCCGGGCTGCCACAGTGGAGCGCGTGCACTTAACCGCTTGCGCCACTGGGCTGGCCCCTCCTGTGTGCTTCTTATTGTCACTCTCTTGGACGCTACAAAGACAGGGAGCTTGCATAAACTTTGAAAATTTGCTACTCTTTGGAGTAAATACTGAAGCAAATATAAGACTTTTAAGAGATTCTGCCATTGTCAAATGTTCACGAGCTAGGAAAAGTCTATTTATTGTTTGATTTTGAGAGTTCTTCATCTGCCTGAGATTTTTTATTTTACATTTTCTTTCACCAGAGCCTACGTTCATCAGTACACAAAATTTGGAATTGAAGAAGAGGACTTTTTGGACAGTTTCACATTGTTAGAACAGGTTGTTGCCAGTTATTGCAACCTCTGATCTTAAACAAAGGGGAAAAAGTAACAAGTCATTTTTGGACTAAAATATTTTCAATACTACTTTCTCTGTAAGGTTTTCAAAGTTCTGTCTGTTAAGGTAACAAAGTCGAATGCTGATTCCTTCTGCATACTATAGCCACAGAAAAGGAGGAAAACCTTTTAAATGGAGAATAGCATGTTTTCAATGAAAACATCTACCTGGTATTTTCATTTGTAAGAAAAAAAATTGATGCTTCTGTAAAGAACTTGGGAAACAGTTTGCTGAGATATTAGAACTCTGAAACTATCCAATAAAGGGAATATTCTGTTTTGTCCCCTTGTTCCTATATCTTCCCTCTTTATTCCAAAAAGGATCACTAAATATGAGCTTAGCTTTCACAGCACAATTTTAAGCTCAGAAAGTTCAGTACTGTATTTAAATATATTAATCTTTGAAGTGAATGCTTTGAACCACAAGAGGGAGCTGTTGTCAAATGCTACAGTGTGAACATCTGCTTCAAATATTTTATTCTATAATAGGGTAAGATTTTCCACTTTAAGCAGCTATTTAAAAATAAATGTCAGGATTTTGTTGATAAATGTATATCATGTTTAAATACAAAAGTAAGTAAGTAAATGTTTAGTTTGTTTGTTTTTCTTAAATTTTGTGGGGCATCAGAAAATTGGGTCAGGGGCCGGCCCTGTGGCTTAGCGGTTGAGTGTGCGCGCTCCGCTACTGGCGGCCCGGGTTCGGATCCCGGGAACACACCGACGCACCGCTTCTCCGGCCATGCTGAGGCCGCGTCCCACATACAGCAACTAGAAGGATGTGCAACTATGACATACAACTAACTACAATAGATGTTAGCTCAGAGCCGGTCTTCCTCAGCAAGAGGAGGATCAGCATGGATGTTAGCTCAGGGCTGACCTTCCTCACAAAAAAAAAAAAAAAAGAAAGAAAATTGGGTCAGTTTTTCCCTTAGATCTTAGAATCCCAGAGCAGAAACTGATTTTATTCAGCTAGTGCTTTAAAATTACTTACAGGTATTTAGCTAGTGTGGAAAATGGTTATATGTTTTGCAGTAAAAGGGGTAAGAGCTTTCACCAAAGTTTCGCTAAGTTGAGAAAATTCTCACCAAGGGAAATACTGTGCTTGATGACACTGACGCATACAGATGTGGGTTTCACTCAGAAGGACAAACATACTTGGAAATTGGCAACTGAGTTTGAGGGGAATGGTGTATTTCAATACAACACATCACATGCAATGTCTTAGCACATGTTAAATGGGAAACAAATAGGAACATTTGCCCCTTCTGCCAAATCTACCAGTGGTAACTTATTTTTATATGGAAAAATGACAGTTCACAACTTCACTGGTTTCTTCCTTTTCTTTCCATATGGCAATGATTACCTTTTTGCTGTTTTTCTTATCAACTGTTGCTATGATTTAAAATACCAAACCATATCTTATTTCTAAGGAATGTAAAAAGTGGTCTGTTGAGCTGCTAAAAGGCACACCCCACTGCTGCATTTTGTTAACCCAAGTATACTTGAAAAATAATTAGATCATAATTTTTATAAAACAAAGTTAAAAGTAACTGTTTAGCATTGAAGAGATCCAAAGACTGAGACAATTTTTCAAACTAAACCAGCATTAATGCAGATCTGTAACTGAATTATCTCACCAGGAGTTAAGCTGATTCTGAGGAACCTTGCTAGAAGTTAAGCTTAAAGAAAGTCATAAATTGACATCATTTTGTTTGAGAAAGGAATTCATGAGGTACCAAGGGGGACGAGTATATTT